CTGTTGAAGCATGTGTGGCCGTGCCAACCATCTCCTGGCTGTAATACATGAACACGTCTGAAACGGCGGAGCATTGCCAGGACAGAAGGCATATCGGCTGTTGCAATAAAACCCAAATATCGGTCTCTTACTCAAAAGAGATGGCCAACTCTTTCGGCGTTAGTCTCATCTGACTAGAGTGGTAAGGGAAGTGCCGAATTCATCGACTACAAACTGCTGTACTTTACACTATAGCGGTCCCTACTTAAATGGGCCTTTGCAGATGCTCAACCCTATTCTTCTGTTATCCGCCAATTCACCGGAAGCCAATCGTGCAAAACTTGGAAAATTTATTGTTTTGTGCCAAATAATGATAATACTGCTATTTATTCCTGTGAGTGTTCAGGCGAAAACGACTAGTGTTGTGTGTACTGCATGTAATTAAAGAATGCGCAAAACTTACTAACTTGATTTTCCATCGGTTTCGCCGGAGGTCTGGAGAATTTGTAGCCCACACACCCGTGACGTAAACAGCGTTGGTGCTTTGATTGCGTGCAGCACGTACGAAAATTACATAAATTTCCTTCATGTATTCCAATAACGCATACTCAAATGCCATAAAGATTAAAAATGGTATGAAACAAGACGAAAAAGGCCTGGTTAAAATAACAAAAACAGGCCCCATGAGGAAAATGAGTGAGACATAAAGGTGACCTAATCCACGTTCGGACAGAGCTCAGAAAGCTACACTTTTCGGGGGTAACTGTGGTGTCGCCCACAAGGCTGAATGAAGCAAACCTTCACGGCGTCCACGGTGCGCTGGCTGGTGGTACAAACTAGTGGGTGCATGGATAGATGAGTTCAGCGGAAGGCTGCAACTCACTCTCAAGGTGGGAAAGGAATCCAGAAACTAATAATCAGCCCCTGGAAGCTCACCCGGTGGCCATGTCTGGCATAACTGAGACGGTGAAATTTTTTTAGGGATCTGCGCACTTCGTCCACAACAAGTATATACGCATGTGAATCGGGATCCGGGAGTTCCGGGTGAAATTTCGCATATGGACACATTGCTTCAGAGCGTTACAGCAGGGGGAGCTAGTAATTAAGTTCGGTAGCGTTACCTGATCCAAAGCGGAAGTGCTACATGAGATTGGTATGCCTACAAGCCTTTGAACAAGTTGAACAGATTAATCATAGGTTCAAGCTGCTCATTCTCGAAAGTGGGCATTTAGGGCCGATTGCACCGCAGCCGAGCTATCCCTGATAGGGTACTTCATAAAATGCGCCCACACCACCGGAAGACTGGCACAGAGGGACCTGCGTATAGTGAATCACATAGCCAAATGTACCAGCAAACCCTATGGATTCGATAAGCCAGAGAAAAGACCGAGGAAAGTATACGCTCTTCTGTGAAGCAATTAAGCAAAGTGACAACACGGGTCCACATAGCCAAGACTTTGCCGTGGTCAGGGCCATATCACCTGGGTAGTTGATGATCCGGATGCAGCAATCTGAACCAAATGAGGGTGCGCTTACGGTGACAGAGAGCACTGAAAGATTTTCCAAGTTTATCGGTTGTAAAATGCCGCCTCCGTAACACACCGTTCCCTGCCTTGCCAAAATCTTGCAGATGCGTGGCTCCTACTCGCTTATCTCTCTGATAGCTGGTAAACGGTGGTGCACTAGGCAGGTCGTTCCATGGACTTGTAAATGACGGTATCATGTGACCGCCATGTGGTTTTACTACTTATTAGTTGAAATCGGATCAAACAGCATGCACAAAATGTGGAAGTTTTTACCGGAAAACCATCCAAATTGCTAGCTCCTCACGATCTCTTGAATTTCCCCCACTTTCGGGGATGCCCACTGAATCGGTGTAGACATTTATAGTGTAAAGCGTTGTTGCACCCTTATTGCCCTCTTAGCCTACAAATGAAATTTGGCTTACCTTCACCTCACCGCCACCTAACGCCTTCTCGAACATCGTGCAGGTTGAACAATCGGAACGATGAAGTCCTAATGAAAAACTTCCTCATATATTTAACCAAAGATTTGTTGATTAATGGCTCTAGAGCATCGAAATTGGTGCTCAAAAGTATGCTGTTGAAACGGATTTCAGGATCAGCGTGTCCGAATAACAGTCTTCAGGCGTGGGTATATACGCGCATAAATTCCGTAAATTTAAGCAGGATTCCGAACGATTTATGGAAACATGCACACGCCGGTTGAGAATGGTTCAACGAGTTTCCCATGATGTGTAATTATCAGGCCACAAACTATCGGCGATAACCTCACTGATTTTTCGTTAAAACACTCACTTTTCACAGAATTTTGTCTCAAAGAAAACCACTACATCGACAATACATAAAGTTGTCACAGAATATCACCAAGCGACTAAAGGCCTGTTAGCCCTACTAGCGATAGTACAACCATGATGGAACGCATCCTGAAGCTGGTTGTCTTCAGTCACTTCAGTATGGACAGCCTAATATCCCCAACGCAATACGGATTTTTCCCAAAACGTTTTTGCCTGACGAATATGCTCATGTTTATAGAGAGTTTAACCCAATCTTAGGACAAAGGACTCATATCGAATGACATTTTTTGACTTCTCAAAAGCATTCAGTCAAGCTCCGCGCGTCCCGTTGCTTCACAAGTTCCGGTCTCACGGGATTCAGGGGAAAGCTCTACGATGGATCAGGACCTTCCCATCAGACGGAACAATCGGATTGCTAACAGGCCCGAGCTACTGTGCTTCGGTGCCGGTGTCCATTGGAGTTCCTGAAGACTATGCTTTGGGACCGCTTCTGCTTCTGACCTACATCAACGACCCTTCATGTATTCTTGCAGGTCCACGTCTACTTTTTGCGGACGACTTGAAATCCTAGGTTTTAAATGCCAGGCCCTTCAAATGGATGTAGACGTCGTAAAGCGGTGGTCGTTGTACTGAATGACAAAAAGTGCGCCCTTATGTCATTCGGAGGAGATTCGGTGGACGCCTTTGTTGTGCATGGTGAGAATGGGTCAGAAGACATTACAAGGATAGACACAAAATAGTATTCAGTGGTCCAATTCTCTAAGAACATGCATCACTGGCTCAAAAAGCTTTCGCCGCTCTGCGGATAATTCGGCACACCTTCCCCTCTATTGTTCGCAGTATCTTCTTGTACCAGTTTTAGTGTTATTCTTAGAATCTTTGTAGATCTGTGGGCCAACACTCTCGTGGTGCTTTTCAAGATGCAGGTGAGTTGCGGCAATACGCTTATCTGCCTGACGTCTGGAGAGTCAGGTTTGTCGGATGGACTTCCAAGCTATTGTCCCTTTGTCAAAAGGCTCCGTGGAAAACTTTCAAATTCCACTTCCTTCTTTAACGTTGAATTCTAGTGTCCTACGTTGTCTTACGTTGTCCCAACCTGCCAAAGCATGCTCAGATGCTGGTCCACTGGTAGCACTGAACAATTACCATGGTGGTTCATTCCTGGGCGACATTTTTTCTGCCCTCCACTACCAGCGACCATGCGATTAGTGTGAAAACCAGTATTTTGACTTGTCAGTTGTGCACAGGCAGGAATCTCGCACACCCGAACTGCATTTGAGCACAGGCCAAGGAGCTCAATTTTCTAAAGACCGTAAACCAAATATATCTGGACTGCATCTAGTAGTTTGGTTACCCAAAAAGCCACTCTCTAGGCAAAGAATTAAAAATAATAACTCTATATTGAATATACAATGTGAAAGAAGTCAGATGGAAGAGACTCGCTTAGAATTGTTCTCTTAAAAGTAGTTCGTTGTTGGCCCAGATCAGGGAATAACTACTAATCTAATCATGGTTCTCCAGGGGTCTTCTTCTTAACAGTTCTCA